AAGCCCCGACGACGAATCGATGTCAGAGGATCTCAGACCAAGCACCCCGTCGCCTTCGAGCAATATCTTGTCTTTCAGGGCTTGGAGGAGCTTGCGGCGGCAACTGTGGCTGAAGGTTCAGGGTTCAGGATTACAACATCGGGCGTTTGAGGAAGTTTGTTACTAGTATCCCCATGATGATTTCACGACGAATAAATAGATAGAACTACAGGCCGACCAAAAGTCGAACGGAGACATGCATGTACTCACCCTAACATACTACAAACTGTACTCCATGCGATGCGCATGCATCTCCGATGTGTCCGTGCAAAGGTTTGTGACTAGAATCTGTGGCAGCCGTGCTCCCATCGCAGCTGCGCTTAGAGGTCCTACAGATCCTGAGCAAAGCTTTGTTCCTCAAGCTATGCTCAGAACAACCCTAATAAACCGTATAGACTTTCCTTTCAGAACAACCCTCAACTCAAAGCCCTGACCACTACCATATTCAGAATATCCACCCTAAAAACCATACACCATGAACCCCTAACCCTAGACCCTAAACCCNNAACTCTAAACACCAAACCCTAAACCCTAGACTCTAAACTCTGAACCTAGAATCCTAACCTAAAGCACCAGGCACTTGACCAAACCTGTGCTTCAAACAAAGCTCCCGAACGTGAAGCTGTTGAGATCCGCGGCCCAAAGAAAGCTGATTTAGGGTTGAAAAGGGGTTTAGGGTTTAGTGTTTAGTGTTTAGGGTTTAGGGTTGAGGGTTTAGGGTAGGATTAGGGTTTAGGGTTTGGGGTTTAGGGTAGGAAATTGAAACAAGACTTTTTAACACATGCACGGGTGCCCAAAGAACCCTTCAAAATGAAAACCAAACATTATTTTATTTCGAGCATCCCCACCCTCACGGTGGTCTGTGGGGTTGGGCACCCCAGGGAGTCTCACGGGAGTCTCACGGTAGTCTGTGGGGTTGGGCACTCCGGGGGGGTCTCACGGGAGTCTCGCGGTAGTCTGTGGGGTTGGGCACTCCAGGAGGTAGTCTCAGCGGGCGAGGAGTAATACTTTAAAATCTAACAACCCCACAGCGAGGGTGGGGGAACTATTGCCGGGACGCAACCTGAAACCTGAAAACCTTAAGAAAACTAAAGCCCTAAACTATGAGCCCGAACCCTAAACCCTGACCCTAAACCTTCAAACCTTAACTAACGTCTTCTAGAGACGCTTCTTGGCACCTCCTCGGGGGTCCACTCGTCCGGATCAGGGATCTCCGCAGCCATGGCTGCATCCTTCAAGGGTTACTAGCTGGGTTCAGAGTTTAGGCTGAAGGTTTAGGCTTTAAGGTTTAGGGTTTAGGGTTACTACTTTTACGGCTTACTATCCGGGTTTAGGGTTTAGGGTTTAAGGTTTAGGGCTTAAGGTGGCCACCTTTACAGCTTACTGTCTAGGTTTAGGGTTTAGGGTTTAGGGTTTGGGACTTACTCCAAAGGCCGCTGCCAAAAATGATGACAAGTTATCGGCGACAGGGCCCCATCGGCTTCCGGGAGGAGGCTATGGGATGTGAGTAATTAAGCCTAATCCCTAAACCCTAAACCCTAAACCCTATACCTTAAGAACCCGAAACCCACTTCTTTGGTAGGTTCTTATTATAAACCCTACTATGGGATTTATAGGGACCCTACAAAAAAGTAGGTTTTGTGTTCTTAAGGTAAGGATTATACTGTACATCATATTGTAGAGGCAGATCTTGGGTTTCGAGCTCAGCTGCGAGACGCTTGCAAAGCATCCCCAGAGAGCCCAATACCCCTCCTAAACCCTAAACCCTAAACCCTAAACCCTAAACCCTAAACCCTAAACCCTAAACCCTAAACCCTAAGTAAGGAATAGACCTTACATCATAGGGTTCCCTAAAGGATTCAAATTAAGGAATATACCTTAAATCATGATATTAAGGCCCCTAGACTTTAAAGCATAGTCGAAATGCGAGGGATATTCGAAGGTCAGGGATTAGTCTAGGGTTTAAGGCTCGGGAAGGTAGAGGTTTAGGGGTTAGGGGTTGAGGGTTTAGGGTTTTAGGGTTTAGGGTTTAGGTGTTTAGAGTTTAGAGTGTAGGGGGTTGAGGGTTTTAGGGTTTAGGGTCCAAATCTCTGGGACCCTAAACTATAAACCCTAAACCCTCCAACTCGTCCTCGGCCACTTCATAGAAAGGGTCGATGTGCTTGCGGATTTGGACAAACTGCTCCTCCTTCGGGGATGTAGGCGCGGACGCGGTTTCGGGGCTAATGGGGTTTAGGACTTTTTTGGGGCACCTAATGTAGGGGCCTTAATGAATAGAATAGGGTCTTGGGGCCCGATGTACTATAACTATACTAAGGAACCCCCTAAATAGTATAGGTAATTATTTAAGCCCATATTTTCCTAGACCCTAAACCCTAAACCCAATGTTAGGGGTTCCAAATAGCATAGGTAATTATTTAGGCCCATGTATTTCCTAAACCCTAAACCCTAAACCCTAAACCCTACATTAGGGGCCGAAAATAGTATAAGGAATTATCTGGGCCCATATTTTTCCTTAACCCTAAACCCTAAACCCTATATCCTATGGCCCCAAATAGTACAAGTAATTATTTAGGCCCATATATTTCCTTAACCCTACACCCTATATCCTATGGAGGTAATTCTTTCGGCCCCTAAACCCTAAACCCTAAACCCTAAACCCGAAACCCTAAGCCCTAAACACTAAACCCTACATTAGGGGCCGAAGATAGTATAAGTAATTCTTTGGGCCCATGTATTCGGTTCTCCCAGCCAGTCTGAGGGGTCTTCGCGACACTGTTCAGAGGCTCTGCGCTGTCGGGTTTGGGGTTCCAGCGGTTCCGGCTTTTTGGGCCTTAAAGTGGTAGCTTTACGTAGGGTTTAGGGTAAATTTAGGCGGATATGCGTGCATCTGAGGCATCCCCCCGAATCCAAAAGCCTCAACCCTACAGCCCCTGAGCCCTCCAAACAGCCCATACACAACCATAAGTAAACCCTAAATGAGCCAGAGGTCCTAAGAAGAAAAGCCAAAAACAAGATTAAAACCTGTAACAAAAAACCTGCAGGCAGCCCCAAACGTCCCAAAACCCTCACCGCTAGATACCAATAACAGCCCAGCCCCGCTTGACCCTGGGCCTCCGTCACTTCCATCGCCACCTGAGTGACAATCAGAGCTCGGTTACTTGGGCGTCGGGCTTAGGGTTTCGGATTGAAGGTTTAGGGTTTAGGGTTTAGGGTTTTCTTGGACTTAAGCTTCGGGTATAAGGCTTCCAGCTCGGAGTATAGAGATTGGAGTCAACATGGCTTATGCTTCAGGATGTGGGACTTGGTGTCGGAAGTTTCGGGTTGAGGGTGTGAGGGTTCCTTTGAAGTTTTGGGTTGACCTGACCATGAAGAACTAAGTGCGTTTCAACTTCCTCGCTCCAGCGACGGGCCTTTCTGCGGAACCGGGTTCGTCGGGTTGCAGACTCCGCAGCTTTAAGTATGGCTTCACAGTCGGGGTTTCAGGATTAGGGTTCACTCTGGGTTGCGGCTGTAGCTTGGGTTGAAGGAAGCTCAGAACCCGAAACCCTAACCTCAAAGCCCCCAAAAGCCCTAAGACCATCTCTAGAAAACCCTGAACAGAGGCCCTGAGAAGTGACCCCAAACCCCCTAACACAAGCCCTCTAGAGCCTTCCAGCTCCAGCATGCCCATCCTCCAAGAAAAACCTCCAAGGGTTCATCCTGTAAGGGTTCCTTTAAGGGCAACTTTAAAAAGGAACCCGTCAAAAGGAACCAGTCATATCCGAGCCCTTGAATCAACCCGTAAATGAACCCGAGTAAGGATGTGTAAAGGAATCAAAAAAGCTTAAAAGTCTTCAAACTGAAACCAGAACCCCAAACACTAAACCCTAATTCCAAACAAAACCCCCTAAAAAAATCCTAACATCCCAAACAACCCCTAAACCCCCAAAACCCTCACCGGCTAAACCCATGGCCCACAACCCCAAACCCTAAAGCCTAAACCCTAAACCCTAAACCCTAAACCCTAAACCCTAAAGCCTAACCCGGCCTGGCAGTCCTCCAAAGTAAAAGCACCCGAGGACGACGGGCGACAGCCGCCCTTGGCTGGCCCATCGCTACCTTGGCTCTTGGGCTTAGGGTTTAGGGTTTAGGGTTTAGGGTTTAGGGTTTAGGGTTTAGGGTTTAGGGTTTTGGGCAAGATAGGTTCAAGTTGAGAGAATCCGAAAAGACAAATCGAGCCAACAGGCTTGGGAGTTGGGGATTTCAATTGTGCAAGGCTTCTGGGATTTGGTTAAGGTTTGAAGGAGAGGCACCTCAACCCTAAACCCTAAACCCTTTTGAGCCTGAGCCCCACATATAGCAGCGGATTCTGAATTCAATATGATATATATATGACATAACATGATATATAATTTTACTACGCTATACTATAGTCGATTTCACGTCTGACCGGACCGTTGAAACCACCCGCCTTCGTGCCTCTGAAATCGCTCCAGAGGCTGTCGGTGTTGGGTAATGGTGTTTAGGGCTTCGGGTGTAGAGTTTAGGGTTTAGTGTTTAGGGTTTCGAGTTTAGAGTTTAGGGTTTAGTGTTTAGGGCTTCGGGTTTAGAGTTTAGGGTTTTAAAATTTAGGGTTTAAGGTTTACGGTTAAAGGTTGGTACTTAGAGGATCCAGGGACTTCGTAAGTAAGGTTAGAAGTACCTTTATGGAAGAAGAAGTAATGATAAGTATGATCACCTTACTTATGACCCTAAATACTCAGTCTCATGATCGGTTTTAAGTATTAAAAACACACCTAGACACAATCTCTGTCCTGCACATATGCACGCTTTTCTTTCGGGCCTCAGCTGGTTTTTGGGCCGTGTTGGTGCAGGCTTGCTGGTCTGGGTTTAGGGTTTAGGGTTTAGGGTTTAGGGTCTGAGTATGATTCACGCTTCGCGCTGGGGAAGGTCGTGTTGATTCCTGCTGCGATCAGGGGGTGAGCGGTTTAGGGTTTAGGAGACAGAGCTATCAAGTGTAACACTGGCGATTAAACCGTCGACCCTTAAGTCTAAAAGGACAGAATCAATACTGCATGAGATTATCCGATCTTACTTCATACTATACCAACAAAATATCATGTAATGTCATGTTACATTATATTGAGTTAGATTGCATTACACTACATCTTCCTCTATTATTCCATATTCGCTCCTACTAGAGTAGATGTTATACTGTGCTATGGTGTATAGGAATCCTAAACTCTAAACCCTAAAGCCTAAACCCTAAACCCTAAGCCCTAAACCCTAAACCTATACAAATTCATGGGCCTCCACCCGCATCCGGCGGACTCTTTTTGGACCCCTGGGCCCGAACCCATCTCTGATCATCTGGGCCGCAGTAGTAGCCACCAGTAGGTCCCGTGTGCCACTCCGGGGGGCCTGGGCGGATGTAGGGCTCAGGCGTAAGGGTTCCGGGGTTAGGGCTTAGTTTCAATATCCTGAACTTGAACCCTTGAACCCTACGAGTACTTTCTACATCGAGGATCACAGCTCTCAAAGTGCGCAGTGACCATGCTGTAGTCGACAAGTCGATCTCTCAGAGGCTTCCGTCAACTCTGTGTGCGAAGCATCTTTCAGTTTTCGTGGCCATGCATGAGGCTGTTAGCAGACGCTTGCGGCGGGTAGGTTGCGGGGTTGCGGTGGCTTGTAACCGAGGTCATCATGACGACCATCATCACGGTCATGATCATCGTCACCATCCTCATCATCATATTCTTCTTCGTAATCGCCAACAGCATCAACGTCGTCATTTTCAAACACCTTGCCATCGTTCCCATCGCCGTTAACATCATCAATCTCAGCTCTTCGTCTCCCTTTCCTTCGGAAATTACGAACACAGGCCAGAACCCTCAAATTGACATACAATCGCAGAGCGACTAACAAAGCAGAAGCTGCGCCTAACCCTAAACTCGGTACTCACAAGTCAACACGCCGCAAATCCCAATATCCCCGGATTAAACGAAACACACATAGAAACCACATGTGGAACTTAAGTATGATATACGGTTGTTGCGCCTTTCCCAGACAGCGATCACAAGCGACAACGGCCGACAAACCCCTATTTACAGTCATCACACAAGCTCGCTTAGACAGAAGAAGGCCCGGCATGAGAACCCCCTAAACCCGAAACAAGCCCTAAGCCCTACACCTTACTTCAAATAGGAGGGCACGAGCATGAGGAGCCGGCAGCTTGTGCCAACATGATCTTCGCACTCTTCGACACCAGAGGAATGCCCCTGGAGAAGCCGAAGGCTATAATAGGACCAAACCTAAACTCTGACGCCTCAACTCCGAACCGCCCTGCTTGGCGGAAACCTCAAAAAAACCTCGTCTCGCTATATCAAATATTTTGGATATCGGTGATATGAGGGCGAAAAATCATGGCTAACATCATAATCATCATAATCATAGTCATAAACGAAGAAGACTAGTAGCTAGAATGGGACAAATATGTAGCAATAGACTCAAGAGGCAAAATTGTGAATTCAGGGTTCCTTACCAACTTCAGACTTCCAATGTGTCCTGCAACTCTGCGGGGGCCTTGTAAACTTGGGGTCCAAGGTTTGCAGTTCAGGGCTCAAGGTTCAGGATTCACCGTGCCGTGACGACTGCTACAAATTCTTCTGCCACGCATCATGGAATCATGGAAACACTATCCGCTTATAGCCTCTATCCGTATAGTTATTGTTAATATTGCCCCACAACCCTGTTAAGTTTTGTTTCGAGAACCGTATAGTCTGCCAGGGGTTGGCGCGATGGAGCATCCTGACTTCCAGTCTTTTGGCGGCCATGAGAACATCAACCAAGAGGTGACTCTAAGGGTTCCGAAAAAGAGGTTTGTAAGGGTTTACTATGCAGGCGTGATGTAGGGGCCGCAATAAGTAGACTCGGGGTTTGGGGTACCACGACAAACAACCCGAAGGAATAATGTTTGCAACTATTCGGGCTTCGATATTTCGTCTTTATAGGGTTTAGGAGTTAGAACTGCTTTGGGCAATAGGGTTTAAGGAAATGGAAACCTTGCAAGGTTTAGCACTCCAGGTTTGCGACTGAGATAAAGGTGCAGCACGGGCCTAGTCTCAGAAGCAAAGACGTGAAGGCCTTCTCACAGACGATGGATGCGACAGGACTGTTCTCCTTGGACGTGCAGGTTTAGGGTTTAGG